TCCTCCCATTCTTTTAGCTATAATTTTATCTTGACTGGGAATTCCATTTTTATTGCTATAGAAATATTTATCTGTTGGGATTTTAATGTTTTAATGCTGTAAGCCAGGGCTTTTCAACCTTTTCACCGATTGCACCACTTTTAGGATATATGGGAATATTCGAGTACCACCTAGCAAGGTGTCAAACACTTGATGACCCAAAAAAAAAACTGTTTAAAGTTGCAATTCCACTGAAATGACTTATGACCATTTTTCACACTTATGACCATTGCAGCATGCCCAGGGTCATGTGATTTATATTTGGATTCTTGGCAACGGATTCATATTTATGATGGTCACAGTGTCCCAGGGTCATGTGATCCCCTTTTGCAAACTTTTGACAAGCAAAGTCATTGGCAGGGCTGCTGGTGGCCAAGTGCTAAGGTGGGACTTCCCTCCCTCCCTCCTTCCCTGCTTCCCTCTTTCTCTTTCTCATTCCCATCTCTTTCTGAAGGAAGAATTTGAACCCCCCCTATTTTCCCTCTTCTATATATTCATCAAACAAGGAAAAGCCTCCAGAGACAGAAAAGACAAGCCATTGAGGGAACTAGCTTTAAAAGGCGCATTCCCCTTTAAGAATTACCGTATTTATTCGAGTATAACGCGCAAAGTTTTCTACCAAAAAAAGAAATCAAAGTTTGGGTGCGCGTTATAAACGAGGGCTGGGCTGGGGTGACGCAGTGGCGGCCGGTCTATTGAGGGCGCAGGCGAATTGTGAGTTCGCACTGTGCCTTTTCCGGGCTTCAGCCGCTCACGCGAGGGCGAAGAAAAAAAAAACGTCCCCTCATCGCGTACAGTGGGCGGCCCGAACTGGCGACGAGGAACTTCCCTTTCCCGTTAGATGGCAACTCAGGGTATCAAGAGAAAACGTTCTGCATATGACGCGAATTGTGAGTTCGCACTGTGCCTTTTCCGGGCTTCAGCCGCTCACGCGAGGGCGAAGGAAAAAAAAAATGTCCCGTCATCATGTACAGGGGGCGGCCCGAACTGGCTAGATGCACTTCCCTTTCCCGTTAGTTGTACCGGTAATTTTATTTCGGTATTGTGTTCATAGTTTACGTTGTCAATAAATGATTTTTATCATGGCCGCACGTGTTCAACAACGTTTGTCACTTACAATGCTTGGTCTGAGCCGAGAAAAAGTGAAACAAAATTTTATACCAATTTTTAATCGAAAATTAGGGGTGCGCGTTATACACGTGTGTGCGTTATACTCGAATAAATACGGTAGCTACTGGCTAGAAAGGAAAGTTAAGGAGCGCAGTGGGCACTTAAGGAAGAAAAATAAATGTAATAAGTATGGCTGCTGGCTAAGGCAGCCTCCCCAAATGGCTGCATTCGTATGTAAAGGAATGCTACAGGCAAAATCCATTCAGGAGAAAAATACTTCAAAATCCCTTGCAGCAAAACTTACAGCTAACAGTAGCAGAGCAGTAGAAGCTAACCTGAGACATCAGCCATCAGCCAAATAGAAATTGCCAAACACTCCTTAAGAACACAAAGCCCCCATTGCACAAATCCCAGAACTTCAAAGTCACAAAAGCACATAAGAATCCTTCCACTCTCCATCTCCCTCCGTGATTCACCTCCAGCCGGTGCTGCCTTTCTTCATTACTGCCTTTCTTCATTGCTGCCTTTCTTCATTGCTGCCTTTCTTCATTGCTGCCTTTCTTCATTCCTCATGGAGGGCAACCCCTCCTCCCTACGTTCCTTGCCTCGTGGTTGCTGCCAGCACAGGTGGCTGCCACAGAAGTTGTAGATCCACTTGTGGCCGGCCTGCTTGATTTCCTCTCCTCTCCCCCCACCCTCCTCCTTCTTTCCATTCCGTGAAGCTAGAACTGACTCCTCCTCCTCCCAAGTATGCTTCTTTTTCTCTCTCTTCTTCTCCTGGCCCAAACTGCCTCCTTTTATAGCCTCTCCTGTCTCCTCCTTTCTCATGGGGGAGGAAATTCCTTCTGTCCTGGGGCGTTTCCAGTATTTATTCCTGTTGGACTTGTGCAATTTGATGATGGAAACTGATCCCAATCAGGAACGATTTATGTTTTTCCATCTTTCAGGATCCCATTTAATTTCTTGCTGCAATTTGCTTTGGAAATGACTTAAAACAAATAATATTTTAGGAGTGAAAAGGGATCTTGGCCTGAACTAACCAACTTGGTCTCCTGTTCTGGCCCCTCCTGTGTCTCCCCCATGTCCCTCCTCCCCTCCAGCCAAGCCCACCGTCTCCATCTCCCCCACCAAGCTGGATCCCGCTTCCCCCAACACCATCCTCCTCTGCACCGCGAGAGGCTTCTACCCTGTGGAGATTGAGGTCCGGTGGCTGAAAAACGGGCGGCCGGAGGAGGAGGGCGTGGCCTTTGGGGAGGAGCTCCAGAATGGAGACTGGACCTACCAGCTCCAGGTGATGCTGGAGACCCAGCCCCAGCGAGGGGACGTCTACACCTGCCAGGTGGAGCACGCCAGCCTGGAGGCCCCCATCAGTGTCCAATGGGGTGAGCCCCTCCCCTCCATCTCCTCCTGGTCTGGGGACCCTATCCTGCCCTGAGAAGGGGGCAGGGACCCTCCCTGTGGGGGGAGCTGGGATGGACCCTCCTGGGGGGGGGAAGCTGGCCTTGATCTTCCTACTCAGGGGAGGCTCCTTCTCCTTCCCCAGAGCCCCGTTCCTCCAACTCTGCCAAGAGCAAACTCTGGACGGGGATCGTGGCAGCCGTGATCGGGGTGATCTTCTTTGCCATGGGGCTCTTCCTCTACCTGAAGAGCAAGACAGGTGAGTCTGGGGGGCTGGATATGAGATTGTGGGGAGGGGACCATCCAGGGGAGGCCTCTCAGCAAGCTTAACAGATGGCAAGGAGGCTCCCCTGGGAAATTTGCTTGGGAAATTCTGTTCTCTGAGAGTCTACTGTATAAGTGAGCATTGTGCAAGTTATTATGGGCTATCAATGGGGAGGGGCCCCCTGAGTCCTCCAGCCCATGAAGGGTCCTGATTGGCTCTTTTTCTCCTTTCAGCAATTCCCATCCAGCCTCCTGCAGGTGAGTTTCTCCTCAAGTGATAGATGTTTCTTTAACATTTGTTAATTGTTCCTTTTTTTTATGTGCCTGAACAAAACCTCCTTGCTGTGGATAACACAATTTTTTGAAATTTTGGGCAGCTTTTCATTACAGAGACCTGAAAACAGTGCAATCAAAAACAAACACACACACAAACACTAAAATCTGGCCAAGGAGGTTTCCAGGTTTTGGGAAATTGCAAAAGAGAAGGGAAGTCTCTTTGTGAAAATTTCACACAATTTCTGGCAAAGCAACACCCAGCTTTGCTACCACTCCCCATCCTGGCCCCATCTTGTTAATATGAAACATCTGGGGGGGGGGAAAGCCTCCTTTCTTGATTAACCCCCCAGTTAAGTCAATTGGGAAAAAATCCATAAGCCTCTGGAGATGAATTGCTGGTCCTTTGCATCCTTTTCCACTTTGAAAAAGGGGGGGACACTCCCTCACTTTGTTCCTACCTATCAACCAGCCCCCTTCAATGTGGGCCTGTCTGGGGGGGGGTTGAAAGAGAGGAATAATAAGTTATTTACACTGAAGGTTTCACTTTATTTTCTAACTTTCTTTCCCGTCTCTTTTTTTCTACAGCACTCATGAATTAAACCTGCTGTCCTTCCTGATTCCTGGTGGGAAAGGAAGGGGCTTTTTTTCAGTAACTGATGAATTTCTGGCTTTTTCGCAACTTCTGAAAAATGGAGGGTCAAGATCTTAGATTTGGGGGAGGAGAAGAATGGCAGCCTGGAGCTTCTCCTGCTGAGACACCTCTGGCTTTCCTTTGAAGACCTCTCTTTCTTGTGAAGGAGGGATGGAGACTATCTAGATGGACCCCAGGGACTCTGGACCTGTCAGTCT